GGTGTGAGGGGCGGGGAAGCCTGGAGGTGCGAACTTTTCCAGGTGAGGGCGTCGGACGCAGCCCGGGCGCGGGGGCCTTCTGTTCCCCCGGGCTGTGCTCCTGTATCCCACCGTGACCCCGCGCTCCTCCGGGCTGTGCATATTTACCCTGGTGGGGGGTCTGTGGGCTTACCTGACCCTGCTGTTTCTGAGTGTGCAGTGTTTTCTTCCAAAAGTAAGACTGCTTTAGGGGTAGCCTACGAAATTAAAAAAGCAAAACAACACGGAACATTTCGTCGGACAGTTCCACTGATATGACCTTCAGAACACTTAATGAATATAAACCGGTCCTGTGTGTGCAATGCACGGTTTATGTGCTTGAATCTGCTTTCAGTTTTTCCAGTTACCCAGAGATGTGTAGTTATTGTGTGCCAAACCTGGCAGGTAGAGCAGATGTTCCTTCCAGATGCTATTTATTAATCTATTTAGTACGGTTCGTTTCCATTTATTTCCACGCGGTTTTTACATTTTTTTTTAACATTTTACATTTAATAAACAGTTTAGCGCCCATCATTTGAAGTTTTTGTTGTTAACAAAAGTGTATAATTTAGCCAGGTGTGGTGGCACATGCCTGTAATCTCATATATCTGGAGGCTGAGTCAGGAGGATTGCCACGAGTTCCAGGCTGCATAGTGAGGTCAAAGCCAGCCTGAACTACATAGCCAGACCCTGTCTCAAAACAACCAACCAACACCCACCCCCCAATCCCCTGTCCCCCGGAAAAACAAAAAAGGTAGAATCTCTTATCCTTACGTGTCAACGCAGGTATCCTGGAAATAACAAAGTTGATCTATAGTCCACTAGTTCCAGCACAAAAACTTCAATTGCAAGTTTTTGGAGGCATACTTTTTTGTTGTTTAAAATATTCACCTTTGTTACTAGAGACGTTGAGGAAGTTTGGAACTGAAAAAAGTAATTCATGCCTTTGCTTTGGAGACATAATAGACTATGACTTGTATATACTAAGCACTTAGTAAATATTTGACTTCAAAGAAAAAAGACTTGTGAAAGTCTGCACAGTGAATTAACTAACCCTTGCGCTCCTAGAGCTAAATAAGCATTTTCTGATTTTATCTTGGTGTGAAAGAAAAGAACCCTTCCTTCTCGCCCTTTCTGAGTCATAAAACTGGAAAACTGCAGTATAGCTCACAGGGAAGCAACTGCCTAGACCTTAAGGAAATCAGCAAGGCCTACAACCAGGAGCAAATGACAGGCTGGGCATGGTGGCATGCTCTTGTATCACAGTACTCTTGAGGCTGAGGCCGGCTTGGCTTACATAGAGAGTTCAAGGCCAGCCTGAACTACAAGTAGACCCTGTCTCAAAAAACAAAACAAAATAAAACACAACAAAAACAAAAAAGCAAATGACAGAATAGGGTAACAATAGCTATTAGGGCAGATACATTTTAGGTCAGTAAGCCAATTCTGTGTCCTTGAAGTTTTTTTATTTAGTTTTAGCTATGCTGTCTTTTTTGCTTGTTAGCAATTATAAACTGCTTTTAGTTTACAAGTGTTTCTGAGAAATTCTTATTGATGCTTCTAAAATGATAATTGGACCCTTTTCCAGAGTTCTTGGATATGGTTTCCACTGTTCTAAAGAGTGAGGTCTTTTTGTGTTTGGTTAAGTCTTTTGGTCCACCAAATAGGAAAGGAGGAAGAGATTTTTTTATTTTCTAGATTTGATCTGTGATGTGTCTGACAGATTTCTCTGGTGATTCTGCTGTTTCTTCATCTTCTGTTCTCCACCCACACATTCCTCCTTATAGTCTGTCAAAGTCAACAACCTCTCCAAATAAAGAATCGTCAGAATTAAAGTTAAAGGATCATCACTGTGCCTGCCTCCCTAGTGCAAGGTCTTGAGTTCAATAGGTTTCATGGTTGTGATAATTTGTTCATAAACATATGGCAGTTTGTGTTGGTCAGAATCTTCAACTTGTTCATTTTGTGAGTTGTTAAACAGTTGTGATGCTTTTTGCCAACTCTTTCTAGCTTCTCTTTCCATAGCAAGGAAGTCCAACCTGCCACTTGTGTGTCTCAGGTGGTCTGTCCAGTCTCTCTGACCACGTGGCTTAGGCACTAAAGGACAGAATCACCCTTGGAGAATATGGCCCACCCTTCACTATGGAGGGGTAGTGTGTCTTTTTATGAAGTACCTGGGTAGTTGGGGGGCACCAGGCTACAAAGTAGTGAGTTTTGTTAGGGTTATGGAGAGAAAGGGACATGACCAGTGAGTAGGCAAAAAAAAGCCATTCTAGTGATAAGGTTGCTAACTAAGCCAGCCTTAATTTGATAAGAATTCTTAAATAGGATAAAAATAAATTAGAGTAGACAGAGGTTTTTAAATTAGTTGCACACACACATATATGTGTGTGTGTATTTTTTTTTTTTTTGGTACTGGGGATTAAACTCAGGACCTTGTGCTTGCGAGGCAGGCGGCAGAACAACTAAGCTAAATCACCACCATAGTTGTATATATTGTTAAATTCAACATAGGAAAATCTAACAAGATGTAATGTTGAGATACAGAAAATTCTCAGTATGATATACTACACTTATAGGAAATTTAATTTGGTGGTGGGTAGGGGCCTGTAAATTCATAGTAATTATCTTATTTCTAAGCTAAAACAATTCTTTGGTTACTTAATGATAGCAGTTTGAGAGGAAAGTTTAAATTAAAAGGTTTATTAGGAATTATGCTTGAATTATTTCCAAGGCATCATTTGTTTTTCTTTTGTTTGTAAAGATGTTGGTATCTACTGCCTTATTCACCCTCGCCTTCATAGAACAGTAATAAAATCATAGATGAAGAGTTATGTTACTATCATAATAAATTAAAATGGAAGGTTTCACTTGTAATCTTATTACTTGTAAGGCTGAGGCAGGACAGCTGTGAGAGTTTAAGGCCAGCCTGAACTCTTCAGTGAGATCCTGTCTCAAAAAACAAAAAACAAAAAACAGGAGGTTTTGTGAAATTTTCAAGGGAAAATTAATTTTAGTGGGCTCTGTCTTCAGCAAATGATTTGTTTATGCATATAACGTACTAAGTTGGTGAGTAATTCTACAGAAACTACAATTTCAGATAAATAGGTGACTATTCTCTTGTGAACAAAACACAGATAAAGTTATTTAAAAATCCCTTCAATATAAAGATCCATATAAAAGCTAAAGCTATATCAGCATTCAGGAATATAAGGTTAGCCATCAAAAGCAAATTGTAGAATATGTACAGTCTGATATTATTTATATAAATTTTAAAAACATACGAAACACTCATCCCGTATAAATAAATGGGAGTATAAATGGGTATCACCTCAATAGCATGTGACAGCATGTATTAAAATTCACTTAGTAACACAACATGTAGGTAGTTATTCTACAGATGTACTGGAGTAAAAGATTATCATTGCCATATTTGTAATGTAAAAGTTTGGAAGTAACCTTTCTAATAGGATAATAGTTAAATTATAATTTAAACAGTGAAATACCTTATAAACATTGAGGAAAAAATGAGGAACTTTGCATAATTTAGAGAACAATTTCCCAGGTGTATTTTTAAGATGAGAAAGTAAAATGGTGTGTATAGTACACCTAATAGTCATGTATAAAAGGCAGGGGCAGATTCATATGTACATGTTACTACTTCTATGTGTACAGTATGGTGTCACTTTAAAAATATACATGAGACTGTGTCACAGTAGTTGCTGAAAGAAGGGGAACTAGATAGAAGAAGACATTGCACTTTCATTCTTTTGATTTGTATGTAGTACATTGTTTCAAAATACATAAAATTAAACTTGTGAAAGTAAACATGAAAAACAAGGTTCCTACGTTTTTCGTGGAGTTACACTTAGGTAATAATATGTATTTGTGGGAAGCAAACACCAACTTCACTACAGATGCTCTCTGAGAAGAGGAAGGAGAAAGGCGAAATCATACAGGCTTCAGTTGGATCTATACTATTCTATTGCTTAAACTAGTGGTGGTACATGTTATTTTTGTTTGTTTTTTTATTCAGAGTAGGAAATATTTATTGAGAGAAAACTAGCTTCTGTCTAAGACAGAAGGGGGAACAGAAAATGGGTTGTCCCAGGTATTTTTTTTTTTTTATAATTGAATTTATTGGTACATTTTAGGTATACAGTACAGTTACATTCATTATTGGGATCTTGTACCTTTACATGACAGGTCTTCGTTCTCATTTTTTCCCCTTGTCCCTGCCCTCCCTTTACCTCCTCCTCCCTTCCCCATTTACAAACACTTTATTTCCATTTTTTATTTTCTCATATTTTTTCTTTTCCCTTATTCCCTTTACCTTACCCTTCCCACTTTCCCTACACCTTTAGCCCTTTTCTTCCCATTTCACAATGTCACTTATCTCATTAGGATCTTATGTACTATTACAGTTTATTCACACCAGAGAAACTATTCGGTATTTACACATGTGACTTATTTATTTCACTTAGGAGTATATCCTCAATATGTATCATTCATAGGAAAATGGATATTCAGGTATTTGTTTTTTGATGTGCCTGAAATGTTTTTTAAAAAAGAGTCTTTTTTTTTTTTTTTTTTTTTTTACTAGGAACTGAACCTAGGGCCTTTGTACTGAGCTATTCCAGCCTCCTCCTTTCCCTGTATTTTTCAAGACAGGGTCTCACTAAGTCACTAAATTGCCCGGGTTGCACAACTACACCCAGCTAAAAAAAGGTAGTTTTCTCAAATTTCTACCAATAACTTTTAAACTCCCCCCACTCCAGGATTAAACTAGTTCCTTCACACTTTTAGTAATCAATTTTTCATTATTTTAGCATGGGGACAAAATGGTTGGGGCTAGAATACCTTCATTAGCTTTTCATATATTTGGCATCTCTAGCCTAGTAAAATCCTCTTTCAAAGAATGATCTTGTTGCACTTTAGGGTTACATGTCTGATTAGAAGAGCATTTGTAACAGTGTTCTCTAGTTAGACAAAAATTCTCTTTAGAGAGCAGTAACATGGTTACT